TATGTTTATAAATGTGTTGAACAAATCTTCTCTCCGTTAAACAGAAACGGGAAAAAAATAAACATGGGACTAATAATTCTGACTTCAACTGTTGATGTGAACAGTATAGTTCACTTCAAAATGAAAACGTACTCACTTACTCTCCTTTATGAGTTTTTTTCCAGAAAGCTGGAAACTTGTAACCATTGAATTCCATATAGAAAAACAAATACTATAAAGTCAATAGATTTTATTTTTATTTTTTTTTGGCTTAGTCCCTCTATAAATCCGGGATTGCCATAGTGGAATGAACCGCCAACCTATCCAACATATGTTTTACACAGCGAATGCCCTTCCAGCTGCAACCCAACACTGGGAAATACCCATACACAACAGCGAATTTAGCAACCCAATTCACCTGTACCGCATGCCATTGGACTGTGGAGGAAACTGGAGCACCCAGAGTAAACCCACGCCAACACTAGGAGAACATCCAAACTCCACACAGAAATGCCAATCACCCAGTTGGGGCTAGAACCAGCAACCTTCTTGCTGTGAGGCGATCATGCTACCCACTGTGCCGCCGTGGCGCCCTCAATAATTTTTCAGATTTCTTCCAAATAGCTTCTTTTGTGTTTTATAGCAGAAAGAAACTCAAAACTCAAACATGTAAAAGGTGACGGAATAAACAATGACGATTTTAATTTTGGAGTGGACTAACCTATTCTTTAAATCTACATTTGTTCTCAAGTGTTTACCACAAACTATATGCTAATTTATGATGCATTTTTAATAATGCATGTGTATTGTATGTAGAATATATCATGCCAATTATTACTTAGAAATTCAAACTGTGAAGGTTCACGCTGTTCAAAAGCAAACAAACACTGAGAACAAAAATTTATATGAATGTAATAGAACAAAACATCTACAGGACATCGAATATAAAAACTGCAGCATAAAAGCAGGGCATTTTTGGTCACTTTGTCTCTTTCCCCCACATTAAAAAAGGATCCACGCTTTCTGTGACACGACATTGATCTACATTTACATATTTTGAAGCAGCATTCAGATCTGGAAAATGAAATTTCACTTTCATGTACTTGGCGCTTCACTCAGCGGCTGGATCTGTCAGCTTCATCTCATCACACATGCAGGAGGTGATCCATAAACGGACGGAAGAATTTCAATGACGCCTTCATCACCTTCATCCACCTGGAGGGACAATGATGTGTTATGAATAACCATAAATATACAGCGAAGGAAATAAGTATTCAACACGTCATGTTTATCCTGGGAATAACATTTCTAAAGGAGCTGTTGACAAGGATTGAACCAGATTTTGGTAAAAACCCAAACATTAAAATAAAACAAAACAAGGTGTAATAACACTAGAACAACATGTAATACTTTATATAAAAAGCGTGTAAAAATCTTGATGGTTCTGTGGATCTCGTTTTTTTAAATCTGATCTTTATATTGTATTCTCTACTGGATTCAAGTCAGGTGACTGGCTGAGCCATTCTACAGCTTGATTTTTTTTTTCTCTGGAAGCATTGGAGAGTTTCCTGGCTGTGTTTCGGATCATTGTCTTGTTGAAATGTCCACCCTGGTTTCATCTTCATCATCCTGCTAATGTAGATGTTGGACTGAAGCAGCTGTTATTAATTTACAATGCCGAAGAGCAGAAGGTTGCTGAAGAACTACTGAGAGATTTTAGCTGCTGTCTGGGCGTTCGCTGCCTTTCTACACCTCCCTTTCTTCATGTGTTCAATACTTTTTTCCTGCGTCATTTCATTTTATTATGCATAACTTCATTTGTAAACTAATTAGATTTGTTTTGTTTGCATTTATAAGTATTTCTTTGGTTGTTAACAACATCTGGGGAAAATTTCAGTCAACAGCACCTTTAGAAATATGTTTTCTGAGAAAAAATGTTGACATGTTCAATACTTATTTCTCCCACTGCACATTAGCCTCACACAGAAAAGAAACCACTTTCACGCTGCCGTTTAGAGAACATTCAGCAATAATTTATTTCAGAATCTCAAGAACCACCACATTTCTCATCTGGAAAATTCAGTATCAGTTGCCAACAACACGGTTTTTGAAAAAATGTTACTATACAAATTCTTAATAGAAAAAAAAGAATAAATTAACGGTGGAATCTGGTTATATGTAACCTGCCCGACAAATTCCACTTAGTTTTTGTTTTTTTTCTAAAACACCATTTTATTATGTCCGGGTTATGTCTGAAAATGAACTCATGAAACATGCTCTACTGTCAGGATGACGGGTTTAGTACTTAACGCCCTTCATTTCACACAACTGGTATTAAAACTATTGACAACAGTTAGGAAAAGTCTACAGCTAGGAATCCAAAGCAGTAACTGGTCTTCCTGTAGCACCTGAACGTGTTGTTGCTAAATCCCAACTTATAAATGAAACCAATACTGATTTATAAAAAAAACATTGAACGAACGCTTTGCTTCTTTTAAAAGAACCCAGTTTTCACAGTCCTGCCTATAAATGTTGATAGATGTGTTAGTTAATTTCTGGTTTAATATAAAAAGGTTTTATGTTTTTGTTATCGAGTACAGGTAGACGAGAGGAGTGAGGCCACATTAGCCGAAGAGGGACCTCAAATGAAGACATGAGGGAAGCATTTTACTTCCGTTAGGGCTGTTTGTACACCGGGTTTTAGTTTTAACATCAAGATGCATAACACCGTGTGCTGAACATGCACGAAAAATAATGAACAATTCATTTTATGGCAGATAAAAACATACGGTTTACTCATAGGCCCTTTATTGAGCATGGATCAGTGAGATTTAGATTAACGACACCGAGTTTGGAAACGTTTGTTTTTTAGAAAACGACTTTTCTGCTCATCAAGACTACATTTATTTAAAAATTATAAACAAAAATGTATCTAAATATTATATACACAAGAATACAAACAGTAATATTGTGAAATGTTTTTTCTTTAATCTTTTTTTGTGAATTTAAATTCAATTTTATTTTATTTATGTGGTTTAAATATGAACTTTCAGCATCATCACTCCAGTCTTTAGTGTCAGATTGTTATATACTTAATTTTTTACATAGAAATTATACTTAAGAGCAGAGCTGAGCCTGGCCAGTACCTGGATGGGAGACCACATTTGTTAATGAGGCCAGCAGGGGGCACTCAACCTGCAGTTTGAGTGAGTCTTAATGCCCCAGTATAGTGAAGGGGACACTATGCAGCCCGAGTTATTTTAAATGGAAATACAGTGCTGAGTATATATAAGTACACCCCTCACAAATCTATCTTTTAAGTTCATATTTTTAATAGAAAGCTATGCAATATTATATGTGTGCATTTACATTAGATTATTCAGTACTGAAGCCAAATCTGGAGCTTATCTAACAAAATAACTTATGATAACAGTCCAAAAACTAGGACACTCAAATTTATCTGTTATAGAAAAATATTAAGGAAAAATCAAAAGAAGCAAAAAATTAAAAATGTAGATAAAATTTTGTAGGATGTAATTTTTTTCTTTCAATTTCTAAATATGTTTGGGGATTTAAATATTATTTCAATAAATATATGTGTTTAACAAATCTGTTTTGTTTAAATGCACCAAAATACATTGCCTATAATCACAGAAGAAATTGATAAAAATATTCATTTTTAAAATGGGGTGTACTCAATTATGCTGAGCACTGTATATATGCAGTTGAAACCAAAAGTTTACATACACTGTATAAAAAGGCACATCACCATTTAAAAACAAAGTCAGATGTTAATGTGACTAAACTTTTTCTCTTTTAGGTAAGTCAGGATTATTACATTTGTTTCTGTGATGCTTATTAGCAGAATAATGAGAGAGATATTTAAAAAAAAAATTTATAACTTTTCATGAAAGTCAAGTTTACAAACAATAAGATTATTATGCCTCTGAAAAAGCTCAGATGGTGATGTCAAGGTTTCGGAAGTTTCTGATTGGCTAATTGACAACATTTGAGTTAATTGAAGGAACAACTGTAGAATAGTATTTAAGGAAAACCTCAAACACACTGCTTCCTTCAGAGACAACGTGGGAAAATCAACAAGCCAGAATCAACAAAAAAGCCAGATTACAATTTCCTAATTTCACTGGTAAAAATAATAATCTTTGGAGACATGTCCTGTGGTCTGATGGAACTAAGATTGAACTGTTTGGCCATAATGACCAGTGTTACATTTGGGGGACAAAGGGGAAAGCTTACAAGCCTAGGAACATCATTCCATTTGTGAAGTATGGGGGCGGCAGCATCATGTTGTGGGGCTGTTTTGCTGCAGGAGGGACTGGTTCACTTCATAGCATAGATGGCATCATGAAGAAAGAACATTATGTAGAAATACTGAAGCAACATCTTAAGACATCAGTCAGGAAATTAAACTTGGCCTCAAATGGGTCTTCCAAACAGACCATGACTGTAAGCATACTGCCAAATCAGTTAAAAAGTGCTTTAAGGACAACAGAGTGAATGTTTTGGAGTGGCTATCACAAAACCCTGATCTCAATCCTATAGAACATTTGTGGTCAGAGTTGAAAAAGCTTCTGCGAGCAAGACTCAGTTACACCAATTCTGTCAGGAGGAATGGGCCAAAATTCCTTCAAATTGTTGTGAGAAGTTTGTGGAAGGATACCCAAAACATTTGACAAAAGTTATACAGTTTAAAAGCAAAGCAAAAAAAAACCAAGGAAATGTGTGTAAACTTTTGACTGTTTAGAAATTAATAAAAAAAAATCTAAAAAATTAAATTCTCTCATTATTCTGATATTTAGGTAATCCTAACGGACCTAAAACAGTAAACGTTTAGTATGATTTACCATCAGACATTTAAAAAAATGGTTATGTTCTTTTTTTAGAGTGTATGTAAACTTCTGGTTTCAACTGTATGTATTTATAGATTTTTTAAGATATCACTGTTTTATTGATTTAATCAAATAAGCACAACTTTAATAAGCAGAAAAGCCATCTTTCAAAAACACTGCTTTACTCTGGTAGTTTAGCATCTGGTGATTTGGACCCTTTCAAAAAGAGATGTTTTTTGTTTTTATTAGTAACGGCAAAGGGTGTGCTTTCAGCTACCTGTTTCTTAAGGTACTTTGCGTGTACGATGTATCGTATCCTGCAGAGTGTAGAATAAAAGCGTTATGGCTTGATGTTTCCTCGGTCGGATGATCGAGGCTAAGGGGCACACGTGGTTTTGGATCTAGTTGACTGCATGATAGAAGCACGAAACACCCTGTATTGTCTGAGCTCGTGTTTTCTTGAAAACAAAAGCACCTGCATCACATTCTGGAATGCTGTTCTCCTGAAAGCAGGTCAGGGAAGAGGTCATTGAAAAATTGTGTCGGTGTGCCACGTTGCGTTGTGCTCATCTGACTTAATAAATACGAACGCATGTCACAACGGTGTTACAGTTAAGTAAAATCTCGAATATTAAAAAACAGACACGTAAAAACAAAACCGATAAGGCCAGGAGTGTTCGGAGACAGTTTTTTTTTCTTCACTGATGTCACAACACTATACGCAGGGGATTGCGATGGTTCTGCATGCAGTGTGGGCCGTACAGCAGGGCATTGTGGGATGTAGAGTTCAGGCTCAGAGCACCATGATGGCGAGTGTGACGCAGTAGCAAAGTACGCGGCCTGAGTTCACCGATTGGTCGTTCAACGCAGAAAATCATGCTAATGCCTCTAACCTAACGTGTCAGATTTGTACAGCTATGGCTTCTAAAAGTTAGCTATGTTCTGCAAAGAAATACGGTTGAACTTCCTGAACCGGAATCAGTGACGTTGAGAGGTTGACGAACCAACATTACGTACAAAGTTTCGACGCAGTTTGTGGAGCTTTTAGCAGCGTCAGCATCTCGAGCGATATATAAAAATCAGGGCTCATTTTCAAATCCAAGAACAGCTTTTCAAATGCTCACAAAATATCAAGTTCACAAACAGTGGGAGGGGCTTATGATGCACTCTTGTCAAATCAGAAAAGGCGCTGTAGGATGAAGGATGTGCCTTTGATGCAATATGGTCCAATAAGAAGAGTCGCTGTCAGGTGAAGGAGCGGCTTGTGATGTAATCCTGTCTAATCAGATGAGGCGCTGTAGTGTGAAGGAGGTGCTGTTGATGCAATATGGTCTAATAGGAAGAGTCGCTGTAGGATGAAGGAGGGGCTTTTGATGTGCTCCTGTCCAATCAGAAAAGGCTTTTTAGGATGAATGAGGGGCCTTTGATGTGCTCTTGTCCAATTAGAAAAAGTTCTGAAGGATGAAGGAGGAGTTTTAATGTACTATGGTCCAATAAGAAGAGTAACTGTAGCATGAAGAGGAGCTTATGAGGGCTTGTTAGGTCATCCTGTCCAATCAGAAGAGGCGCTGTAGGATGAAGGATAGGCTTATGAGGTAATCTTGTCCAATCAGAAGAGGCGCTGTAGGATGAAGGATAGGCTTATGATATATTCCTATCCAATCAGAAGAGGCGCTGTAGGATTTAGGAGGGGCTTTTGATGTGCTCCTGTCCAATCGAAAGAGGCGCTGTAGGATGAAGGAGGAGCCTTTGATATACTCCTGTCCACTCGGAAGAGGCGCTGTAGGATGAAGGAGGGGCTTTTGATGTGCTCCTGTCCAATCGAAAGAGGCGCTGTAGGATGAAGGAGGGGCTTTTGATGTGCTCCTGTCCAATCAGAAGAGGCGCTGTAGGATGAAGGAATGGCTTTTGATGTGCTCCTGTCCAATCAGAAGAGGTGCTGTAGGATGAAGGAATGGCCTTTGATATACTCCTGTCCAATCAGAAGTGAAGCTGTAGAATGAAGGGGGGGCTTTTGATGTGCTACTGTCCAATCAGAAGAGGTGCTGTAGGATGAAGCAGAGTCTTTTGATGTGCTTCTATCCAATCAGAAGAGGCGCTTTAGGATGAAGGAGGGGCTTTTGATGTGCTCCTGTCCAATCAGAAGAGGTACAGTAGGATGAAGGAGGGGCTTGTGGTCACACACTGAGAACGTAAAGATCTACAAAAATGGTTGACGACAAAGCAATCCATCGGAATGTGCGTTTGTGCATGAGAGAGGATGACATGGGCTCTCTGGCATCGGTGCAGAGGAACACACACGACAGCAGGGGACCAATACGTCTATTTGAGCATGTGTGTGTGTGTGTATGTGCATGAGTGGGGTTTACTTATAGTACAACGCGCGCATAAGACGTCTTTCTTACACACATCACTCCAGCGATGGATGAGTTTGTGCATTTAGAGGAACCGGCTGCCAGCTAACTGGGTCAAAGTTCAAAAATCCGAGAGGGAGGTTTAGACAAGGTCAAGCTCAGTTCATTCAGACTCTTGTATTCCCATAGTTCATAAGCACTGTACCGCCGGATAGACAGAGAGGACGAGAGGAAGGAGAGGTCGAGGTGGTACTGGCTCCAGCCACAGGTGTGTTGCGATGAGTTGAGGTCCAGGCTGTGGTCAGGCCTGCCCTTCTGAACACCCTTTGAAAGAGAGAGGGATGAGGGATGACGGTTTAGACGAGCGTTCCCGGCTTTGCCTTCTCGTGCCCGTACCACTGTACGTCTGCTAGCTCAGAGCACAGGGGACTGCTCAGAAAAGTAATGTCGGCAAACGGTGATCTGAAATGAGACATAGAGGAAAGAGTCAGACATCATGGCACTGCTAGTAGGTTTATATTTTTGTGTGTAAACTTTATATGTGAAATACCTCACACAATTAAGTAACAATTCTTCTGTTATATCCTTAATATAACATATTTTTAAGAAATAATTTATCATTTAATATTATACACACACAAATGTATGCATGTAAGTATATATTACACGTTACTGGAATTCGGTACTAATCGATATAGAAATTTTAAGCACGTCCATTTCTCGCTAACATCTGAGCGCTGTTGATCACGTTCTTAAACAGCGCAGATTTGCCATTGTGCTCATATGCTCAACAGAAATGACTGTGACTGGCCTTGAAGGTCATTAGTTCACCAAACTCACCACTATTAACTGAGAGTAACCACAGATACAAAGACACTGGAGCGTTTCAAAGTCACGTCGATCAGCTGGTTTGTCAATAAGCTGACATATGAGTGATCCGCTCATGAATCGCGGCTTTTATATGCTTGACGCCCGATTAACACGGGGCTTCAGCGTTGACGATTGACAGAGGGCGTATCTGAATTTGGGGCTGAAGTGATCGTCATAACAGCGTCAGCCAATGAAATTAGTCAGCAATCGGCTACAGTCTGAGCTGGTGTTTTTGCATACAGCAATCTGATTGGCTGACGCTTCCGTTGGCGCTTGAAAAGTTGAGAAAGTCCCAGCTTCTGCAGCGAGCAACGCCACTGAAGCAGTGCCGATGGATCCACAATTCAGTTTGGCAACGCTTGACGTCACCCATCCACCCAAGTGAATGTGAAGCATTGACGCTGACACCTCGGCTGTTTCTCAATATACGTTCTTCAGCGATCTTTTGTCCTCGTGTTCTCGTGTAACGTCATTATCAACTGCCAAAGTTCAGTTTTAATTCTCAAGATGACAAAAACAGAGAATGCGTGAAACTTCCCGGATGTGTTCTTGATATCGAGTACGCATGGATGCAGACTTGAGGACTGAACTTGCTCTACAAGCCCCAGAAGTCTAGACTAGAGGTGGGAGGCGCAGCATTTTATATAGGTTTGTTCTTAAAGTTCAGAGATTTAACTTATTTATCTCGGGAGTTTCCCTATATGAGACAGTGAATATAAACATTACGATGAAAATCTTGATAAAGGAATGAACACATTAGGGGTGCTTATTTGCTGAAATTCCTATTAAAATCTGTTTATTTATATTGTGCAATGTATATTTATAAAGTTTTTATGCATAGTATATATTGTGAAAAGTGTAACAACAATAAATCGCTGTATGAATGCTGTAATGTTTAAATCATTTTTGGTTAAAGATGCATGAAGGTCATGTGACCATCAGGAAGAACACAGCATCTCATTTCTCACAGGATGCGTTCTCTGTCCTCGCGGTCTCCCACGTTCGTTCCTCTAAAGTGACCTAGCAAGACCGGTCTTCACAAGAGCGCAAGTCCGTTCTCTGCGTTGTTAGAATTGAGAAACAGCCGTTGTGAATAGGCTCTCAGTGACCCTGTTTTTGCAGTGTTTAAGAATGTGCTCAACAGCACTCAAATGTTCTGGGGAAATGGACGCGTTTAAAATTTCAGTACCGACCGGTGCAGAATTTTAGTAGCATGACGACCCTAATATATATATATATATATATATATATATATATATATATATATATATATATATATATATATATATATATATATATATACACACACACACACAGTGCTCAAAGTTCACCCCTCATATCGCTAGTTTAGAAGTACCAAAGCCAAAACTAGAACTAATTTAACAGAGTGAAGATCACAGTGTAACACCAAATATGTTGGAGAAAAAATGTAAATACAGTTTGAATAAACAGGAAACATCAAGAGAAATAAAAAACAATATCTAATTTAGTTGAAATTGAGTAGCATATTTTATTGTCATTTATTCCAATTATTCGTTTGAATTTGGTGACACAACTCATGTTTTAATGGATATAACTCTTTAATAAAACTGCATCAAAAATTATTGCCTATATTCAATGACAAAAGAATAAAAATATTCATGTTCAAAAGGGATGTACCTTCATTTATGCTGAGAACATATATATATATATATATATATATATATATATATATATATATATATATATATATATATATATACATACATATATATATATATATAGTAAAAAAAATATATATATATATATATATATTTTTTTCTTTTACTTTTAGTATTCACATTTATTTCTTGCTCTTCCCAAGAAAAGTGAAATACCTCCAATCAAAATGATTATTTTTTTAATTAGAAAATTCTCACCATACTCCCTATAATTTTAAGGTTTTGCCCAGAAATAAAATTTGTATTATAAATACAAATTCAGTCACAAGTTAAAACCCGACACAAGAAAATGACAGCCGTGTAGTAGTGAAAGAGTGAGATACAGATCATGCAGAGAGAGAGAGAGAGAAAGAGAGAGAGAGAGAGAGAGAGAGAGTATACCTCTCTACTGGTCAGTGCTTTGGTGAGAGGGAGAACGGTCTTCAGTAGGAGAACTTTCAGTCGTATCACTGCCCGAGAAAACACACAACACACATACACATTCAGGCAGAGGTGGGTTAGTGAGACACACACATACACACACAAACACACACAAAGAGATAGAGGTTAGAGTTTGTGGGTAGCCGTGATCAGTTAATGCAGAGTGAGTTGTGTAATTCTGACACTGGGGTAGTTCTGTTACACAATATTAAAGTGAACACACACAAAGCATTGGTACAGTTAGCTGGACAACCAAACCAACAGAATGTGCTCCAGACTTTGACCAGCATCCTCAAATATCTCAAATTTAGACTTTTATTTGGACTAAATACCCACAAAGCTGTGCAGTCTAATGATAAATTGTGCAATCTTGGAAAAAACAATTGTTCAATCTTGGAAGAAACTTAAAACAGCACAAATAAAAATGTGTGTGTATATATTCAACATTCTCAGTGTACATCATGTGCATGGAGAACCATAAAAGCCTTCTCTAAAAGCACATTCACCATGAAATTGCTGATAAAACGGTTTCTTTTTTTTACTATTTGCAATAATTGAGAGTGAAATTTGTCCTTTGTGACATGTATTAGTTTATGACCTGATTCTGATTGGTTAATATATCTAAAGGAAATAAACAGATGCTGCATCCTCTCTAACACATAAATACTAGAGGGCTATATGCTATTAGTGTTAATTAGACTAAATGCTAATAAAATATAGACTACAAACTGACATTTCTTCCAGATTTGTGAAATGTACAATTATGATATTCAGCCTTGGTGGCTAGAATGATGGTTCTTTTTAAACTGGAGACTGGCCTGACCTCAGTCAAAACTCGCTCTTTTTGACTTCTCCGTCAGCGCTTGTTTCACTTTTGCAGGAAGGGATTTTAATGTTGTAACAAATGATTTGATTACTTTCTCATGTTAATTGAAATGCATCACATGACTGTTCATTTACTGCGCAAGCAAAAGCCCGGCCAGACCCCGTCTAAAATGATAGAAATTTAGCCAAAACCCACCCGAAAAACAGCTACAAAAACAGCTACAGTGTCCTATCAGCTCAAATATCCCATATTCAGAAAGGAATAATAAATAATGTGATGGGTGTTTAAAAAAGGGGTAAAATAGGTGCCCTTTAAATCAGTTGATACCTGTTTTTTTTAGTAACTAAATACCTGTATTACTCACGCAGCTTTATTTATAATCTATTAAAAGTTACATATAGTAGCTTTAGATTCGAGTAGTTTTAGTCATATTTTTGGCAAACTCTTAATCTGAGGATGAAGGCCCCGCTGATTGCATGTCTTACCCGCTCTGCCAGTTGAGTATGTGTTGCGGGCTGCAGGGGGGCGTAGCTGCAGGGTCACTGCAGGGTGTACCACTCCTCTGACTGTGTGGAGACGCAGCTGAAACACACACACACAGCACTGTAAGACCCTAATGCGTGCAGCTCATCTACAGACACATATGCTTATACACGTGCTGAACATGTCAGAGATAAAGCTGACTGTTTGCTGCCAGCACCCTCTTGAGCTGTTGGAAAAGGTTTGGAGTGTTTCTGCCACCCAGAGAGAGGTGATAATCCCCACGACACACACACACAAAAACACTGACCAGACCACCCTGACTGCTTCCATACACATGTACACGTACAAACGCACACACACATTAAAAGGTCTCATTCAAGCACTCTCTGGTTTTCACACACAGTAAATTCTTGCTATTGCATGAATATGTATTTAACAATGTGAAATGTATAGAACTTAATTAAAGGACAAATGGAAGGATATAGGACGTCATGGTGGCACAGTGGGTAGCATAATTGCCTCACAGCAAGGTCACTGGTTCGAGCCTCGGCTGGGTCAGTTGTCATTTCAGTGTGAAGTTTGCATGTTCTCCCCACATGGGTTTCCCCCGGGTGCTACGGTTTCCCCCACAAGTTCAAAGACATGCGCTATAGGTGTATTGGCTAAATTGTCCATAGTATATGTGTGGGAGAATGTGGGTGTTTCCCAGTGATGGGTTGCAGCTGTGCTGGATAAGTTTCACCCGAGATTATCAAAGGGACTTAACGGAAAAGAAATTGAATGAATGAATGAATAAAAGGATATAAAATTTACCTGAAGTACACAATGCTCTATATAAACCCGTCTGATGCATTAAAATACCTGAAAAGAGGTTGCAATGTGAAAATAAGGTAAAATAATATGATGTGATGAATAGACTTTTCCCCCTTTCAACCTCATTTTCTTTTCCCAGGGCTCCAAAATTAATTCATCATTTTCCTTCGGCTTAGTCCCTTATATATCAAGGGTCACCACAGCGGAATGAACCGCCAACTATTCCGGCATATGTTTTACGCAGCCGATGCTCTTCCAACTGCAACCCAGTACTGGGAAACATCCATACATACTCATTTAGAAACACACTCGTACACTACGGCCAATTTAGATCATCCAATACACCTATAGCGCATGTCTTTGGACTTTGAGGGGAAACTGAGAGCATCCGGAGGAAACCAATACGGGAAGAACATGCAAACTCCACAATGAAATACCAAACTCAAACCAGCATGAAGACCCGGGACTCAAACCAGCAACCTTCTTGCTGTGAAGCGACAGTGCTAACCGCTGAGCCATCGTGCCACCTACTAAAATAAAAATGATTTACTTTATTTAAGTGAAAAATTTAATAATCTAATTTAAGTTTCTAAAGTCACGAAAACATGTCAGAGTGAATTAATCAATAAAGATACATTTATTTCATTGAATTACGGATGTCAGTTTCAAAGTGTTGGGTTGCAGCTGGAAGGGCATCCGCTGACATAAAACATGTGCTGGATAGGTTGGCGGTTTGTTCCGCTGTGGCAACCCCAGATTAATAAAGGGACTAAACCGAAAAAAAAATGAATAAATAATGGTCAGATCGTCTCTTAAACTAATGACGTTATTCTAAATTCCAAAGTGATAGGGTTTTTCCTGGCTCAAATCAAGCTAAAAAAAACTTAAATTAAATGTAATTAAATTCAACATGACTTGTTAATCTGTTTATTTACAGTAATCTCCAATTCCCTGATGATAAGCCATTTTGATTTATGGATAGATATATTAAACTGAATAAAATTGATGCATTGATTGACAAATGAAAACATGGGCTATATTTGAACATAAACCTTAATGCAGCCTATATGTAATATAAAAATATATTTTATTTTTATTATATAATATATTTTATAATATATATATATATATATATATATATATATATATATATATATATATATATATATATATATATATATATATATATATATATTTATTTATTTATTTATTTATTTATTTATTTATTTTTTTAACGGCCAAAATAACAGGTGCTTGAGCATCACTCTAGTGTCTGTCAGTAATTGTCACTGCCACTATTATGAGGTGGTCTGAAATTCGACGAAGACAACAGTCATAATTCTCTGTGCAAGAAAAATACTTGTATGTATGTATGTATGTATGTATGTACAGAGTTCGAAATGAACCTTTTTGCTTGGTAACACTTAAAAAATGTAGGCGCATCAGCCAAAATTTAGTCGCACCCACCAATTATAAGCACCGTTATATAGACAGGGATTGCTCTTAAGAGATAACTGCTTACTTGGAGCATGCCTATGGTGCCGATTTGGATTAGTCAATTTACTTAAATTTTAGTCAATTTACTTATTTAAGTTGCATGTTTTTGACTGGTGGTAGGAACCCGGGGGAAACCCACATGAGCACGGGGAGAACGTGTAAACTTCACACAGAAACGTCGGCTGGCTTGGTACGGACTAAAACCAGTGACGTTCTTGCTGTAAGGTAAAAGTGCTAACCGCTGGGCCACCGTGCCACCCATCTAGGAAAGTAGGAGAAGTAGAGGGTGGAAAGGGGGATTCTTCAAAATAAACATGGCTGTGATATAGAACTTAGGGTATTTATAATGGCTTAGGAATCGTCTGATTGGTGAATCATAGATTGTATAATGCGGGACCAGCTGCAAGCAATCATAAGCATGTGATCCTCTCGAAATTAGTTTAAAAATAAACTTCACTTATGCATAGCCATAAACACATTTCCTTGTGGAGCAAGTAGCTTGACCGCTTATTGCCGTTTGTTATTCCTAGTTATTTCACCATATGCAAATAAATCTGAAGTCCTAAAACAGCAGAAAAGAGCCTCACTATTATTTAATATTTGATCTGCTCACCTGGTGACCCCTTGACTAGCGTTCCTATCCGTCCTCCGCGTCCGTCTGAAGAGTTGGAGCTGGTATGTGTGACGCGGCTGTGCTCTTTAATGGATCCAGATGAGCGCTGGTACCAGCACCGCAGCTCTTCCGACACCGCCGCCCGTCCTCCGCCACCTCCACCTTCCCTGCCCAGCGACGGAGTCCTCACGATCTGTGAACGGGACGGCGTCAACCTCCCGCTTCCACCACCACCACCCGCTTCCCCATCCTCCCCGGAGCCCCAGCCCTCCTTATAAAGCCCTCCAGCTGTGTATGAGTTGGAGGTCTTGAACTGCGCCTTGACGCTGTAGTGCCCCTCCTGGTCGTTCTCCAAACTGCGGACCACCACAGCATTAGGGCTGCTGCCTTCGGTGTATAACGGGTACTCTTTGATGCGGTACTGTGAGGAAGGCTGGCTCTGGCTGTGCAGGTAAACTCCCTGATGGCTGCCACACACTCCTCCATGGGTGCTGCCATTTCGGGCTGCCAAGTTCGGCATGCTGCCGGAGCTCGATGCGCCGAGGTGTCCCGCAGACTTGTGCCGCTGCCGTTGCCGCTGTCGGGCTTTGGAGGGCGAGTCCTCTGCCAGTGTACAGTAGTTGGGGTTGGAGGTGGACGAAGGGTAATAATGTTCTGAGCTGGAGTGGCTGGTGCAGGACGAGCAGTCATCTGGGACCACAGAGCCATTGCTTCCTGTCCTTTGGGGGCCCGAGAGAAACAGGTCAGGGCTGAGTCCTGCTTCAGTGTCCGGCTCTAAGGAGAGCAGCTTCCCTTGAGACTCCAGACTGGAGCTGCGGCCCCGGAACGGCTGAGTCAGACTGAGGAAAGTAAAGAAGTGATTTCGTGAGGTGTGGCTTTGAGAGTCCCCCCCCCACCCCCCCCCTGCCATCCAAAGATAATATGTTAACCAGTTAGCATTTTGGCAGATCACCTACTGCACCTTTAACATTCTTATGATGACAGCATAGGGCATTGGTTTGGGAGTGTGTGTGTCTCTCTACCTGGCCGAATGGACGTAGCTCCGTGTCCTCAGGTCAGGGGTGGAGGGCATGCTGGACTGGCTGTTCCAGTGAGGGAGGGAGCGTACAGGGCTGTTCTGGAGAGAGTTGCTCACTCCTGCCTCACAACTGCCTGTGCTAGGGAACCGTCTGTGACTACTAAGGAGACATTCATAAATATCATTCATTCATTCATTCATTCAAATGTGCACCAAACCATTCATTCTGAGCACAAAAGAAAATGTCTACCTGGAGTGTGAGGAGCGTTTCTTCACTCGTTCGTAGGGTTCATCTAATGAGCTTTCACTCCACATGCGTGGTTTGATCGGAGACTTGTCGTAGTCACTGCGCTGATAGTGCAGATGTCTCAGTCCGTCCAGGGACTGTGGTGGGGGTGGCCGGCTGTGGGATGGAGGTCGGGGAGGGAGACCCTTGTGTGGAGAGGCAGCCGGAGAGAACGTGGGGGTTCCAGTCACCTGGGAGTCATCTGGAGTGAAGAATGAGAGAGAAGTAAGACTAATTTTGGGAACAAAAACATTTTATGTTACGTAAAAAATAGATAATCCAAATGAGAACTTCTTTTCAGGGACACTGTCAAAGGCAGAAATCCAAAACAGTTCCTAAAATGATTTGATGAACATTTTCTGAATATTCTCATGAATATTTATAAGAATAACACCAGTTCTGGCTTTAGTCTAGTTTACAACACATGCTTTTTTACAATTTCATTCATTACATATGATCAAAATCAAACCCTGTCGATGATTTTTATCAAATAAAATACCAACTGAATAGCATATTAATTACTATTGTGCCAAATAAAAGAGTTCTGAATAGGTAAACTACTTTGTTTGCATGTATAAATTGTTATATATAGCAAAATATTATTTTTTTATTTATTATAATATTTCTTTTAACTTACTTTTTATATTTGGACTAACACAACAACAAACAGTGTACAAAACCATAGTTTATCAGGCTTCATTGTGGTTTGTAACACCCACTTTTCTGCACATGACTTAATACTGATAAATAAAACCAAACCCGCTCAAAATTGCAAACAGTTTGTCTGGTAACGGCAATATCATGGTTAATCTAGATCAATTATGGTTTGCAACACCCACCTTTTTACTATCGCAATAATTATATACATAGATAATATTAAATCCTGCCCTAATTTCCTTTTTGACTAATTTTGCTTCAAAATAATTTTTTTAATTATTTATTTAACTTTTTTTTTTTACATTTTACAAACATTAACAACAACCATCAGCAACAGAGATGGAAAGGGAAAATAACTGTATATGTACACACTTAAGCAAATGAAAAACCCTGTAAATTGAATAATAATAATAATAATAAGTATATACTGTAACTAAATGAGGGACTGCATGTATACAACAATCTCAATGAGTACATTTACATGGAAACCAATAATCCGATTTTAATATGATTAAGACAATACTCTGATTAAGAGTCGACCATGTAAACAGCAAATTTTGATTAATTCAATCTGATTAAGGTCATAATCGAACTAAACAAAAATCGAATTAAGACGTGGAGTATTCCGATTTTTGTCGCATCATTGAAGTGCAGCACAGACATGTAAACACACATAATCAACTATTACTGTCATGTAGGATTTTCACCGCATTTTGTGACAGGGTAGTCTATACACACAGGGCTGTTTGACACTATTCTCTGGATGATTTTTTCCCTGTCTATTTTTAAAGAGGAACGATCGCACCCGTTGCATTTTCAGGCACGGTTGTTTTGCGCAAGAAAACGGGGCATGGGAGCTTTTAAGCACTCACGCGCTTCACATCAGCTGTGCGCATGACCCAAAGCCCTCATCAGTGCATCAGGATCACCTGTGTCTGATTGTGTGTCTAATCATCCTCTCATTTGGTATTCACCTGCTTAATTTTGCTCGCGCAAACAATTATCAAGCTGCGGTCACACTGGGCTTTTCCTCCCATAGACTTCCATTCATACACACACGAATGCGTTAGACCGGAAATGCGGGGTCATGCGTCAAGTTTCGCAGGTTGCTGCGGTGCAAAGTTCAAGCTTGGTGAACTCTGACCTGCGTAAGACCAGTTGAGGATCAAAACATGACCTCTCTGGACAGACGTCTCTGGAGCAATCACTCACTTTTTTAAATGTCTAATAAGCTTGTTTAATCCCGCCCCTTTTCGCAGCGCTGTACGACAGAATTTCGCACACACAAACTGTAGTGTGCCCGCAGCTTTAGTCGTGCTGTCTCTTGATTCTAAGATCACATTTGCACGCATGTTGTCATTGCCAGCTAGTGCTGGCAATTTAAAAATGATTTTCAACCTGCCAAAGTGGCTAGTGGGAGTGGCTGACTAACCCGCCAGAGTGGAAATCTACCCGAATGGCGTAGTGTTAATGTCAAGCCCTGGTAGTCACTGTTAAAACTCAAGGCAATAAAGGGTTACAAACTGTTATTATGTATTATGTGGAAAGGTTGGCAGGTGTGATCAACCTAGATCTACCTAGACTGTTTAAACACAACGTGCTTTAATTTAAATTTAGATCACAGACATAAACGTTTTTGGCGTGTAAAAACTCACCATCGTCTAGCACCAGTGCGTCAGACAGAGAGCTGTCCTCTGAGCCGATATTTGCTTCTGCCAGACAAAGACAAAAACAATTATTAGGTAAAAACTCTTGCACACCAATACAAATCATTGCAACCTGAGCATAAACACGAGAGTGTGTTAAATGAATTTTCGCAGCAGAGGTCACACACAGACACATCTGTTCACACTGTTTTATAGGTCTTTGGGAAAGTGCGATTACCCCTGCTCTCAGCATGATGAGGCTTTACAGAGGAAACGCATAATGAACTCACAGGAGCTTCTTGAAAGCATCTTTACTCACACACAGCGAAAGTATTTCCTCACCCTCTATGATGAGAGAGGCACGTTGTGTGGGTTTCTTCCCGGAGCGAACGCGATATTCATTGATGCCGTTCTCAATGTCTTGCAGCTTCTTCAGAGCGTTGAGATATGACGTCTTCCTCTGTTTCTTCAGTTTCTTGCTGCTGATGTGAGGATCTGATGCTAACCTTCGTGCTGCCTCCGTTATCTGAGACTGAATGGCAAATTCCCTTTCCAAACGCTCCAATTCCTCTTCCTAGAAAACACAGAGGTAAACACACACACACACACACAAAGTTAATGGTGCATTTAGTGAATTTTGCCAAATGATGTTGATATTTGAAAGCACCAAAATAAACACGTCTATAACTTAACACGTTTTTAGATATCTTCAGCAGGGTTGCCAGGTTTTTGCAAACAAATCCAGCCCAAAACTAGCCCAATAACACCCATAATGAAAATATACTCAAATATTGCAGCTGTTGGACAACATAATGTACTTTTGAGGCTTTTTTTTTTTTTGTTTTGTTTTTTTTTGCAACTATGCAGTTTATTTATAAGGATAGTGCCTTTTTTTAAAAATTCATAATTTTGGGAGATTCAGCAAAACAGTGGCCAGCCTGTCATTCTGAGCAGAGCAAAGACAGTTGACATTCCGCCATAAGATGGCGACAGAGACCGCATAATACATCATTAGGGGAGAAAAACAGCCTTTTCTCAGTAAAAAGTTTGAAACTACAGCAGAGCAAACCATTATAAAAAAGGTAAGTGACATTCTAAGTCGATCTCTTTATTTTGTATGTTGTAGTGCTGGATTTATACCATAGTAATCTGGTAGTGTTTGCTTTGGCTTTTTTTTTTTTAAGTTAATTATTGTGAAATCTTGATTGCAACAGAAATACTGGGAAATTTCTGCAGACTGATGGCATTTTATGCCTTACAATCTTAAAATGTCAGCAAAATCACCTGTTTTGTCATTACTTTAGACATTATGCTAGAGAATCATACAAATACTATAAAGTGGTGTTGGTGAATGAGCAACAGTTTCTGCTGTTCTGAAGTCAGCTGCAGATGTGAATGAATCGTGAAAGTTTCTTGTACAAAAGTGTTTTTAGACTCCGTGTTAAATTCTCTTTTTTATGAACGCAATTACGCAGTCTAACTGTTGTATAAAGCAATATTATAATCTTAGCAGAGCACTTTGGCTGTATATTGTCACCTATTTTATCTTTGTTTTTCTTCCTTTTTTCCATTACTGGATGGATTATAAATGGTTTCTTCTTTAAAAAATACCCCTGTAAAGTAGCAATTAAAAAGATGCTGATCAAACACATCCATAACCCATCAAATCCTTTTTGGATATCTTCAGCAGGGTTGCCAGGTTTTCGCAAACAAATCCAGCCCAAAACTCAATATATGCAATCCCTCTTTCATAAATGGATTTTAAATGGTCTCTTTTTTGACAATAACTATATAGTAGCAATTAAAAAGGTTCTGTTATCATAAAAATGACTTAAATATATTAATTCCATATAAATTCAAGATTATTACTTGAATTTACCATATAAATTCAAGATATTAATTATTATTAATTAAATTATTAATAAAAAATATTAAATTGTAAATCGACTGTCTTTAAATTACATATCTATTGTTAGTTATTAATTAACAACAATCCTGAAAAGTTCTGCCAAACTTTTTCTGTATAGAAACGAAAACACTTACAAATACTGTCTCTCCTCTAGACCCCCTACATTTCACAAAACTGTACCTTCATCATCCTAGCAGAGTTTTTATTATCATTGGTTGAATAAAAATTTGGTTGCAATCTAGGGAAAGATGAATGCAGCCAAGTACAGGGATATCCTGGACAAAAACCTTTTCCAGGGTGCTCAGGACCTCAGACTGGGCCGAAGGGTTTACATTCCAATAAGACAATGACCCTAAACACACAGCTAAAATAATGAAGTGGCTTCACAACAACTTCGTGACTTTTCTTGAATGGCCCAGCCAGTGCCCTTACTTAAACCCAATTAAGCATCTCTGGAGAGACCTAACAATCACTGTCCACCAACGATAACCACCCAACCTTTTAGAACTGGAGAGGACCTTTTTTAATAAATCTCCAAAAATGTCAACAATTCTGTGTTTTTCTGTTAATACAGGGTGCTGTGTGTAGATTAACTTAAATGATGCAATGTAACATAGAGTGAACAATTTAAAGGGGTCTGAATACTTTCTATACCCACTGTATATGTCAAACTTATAAAAACAACAACCAGCGGCAAATAATTAAAGCAGCCCAATGACTTGGCAACCCTGATTTCCAGTATCATACTAGACACGCCCATTCCTGCTGATTGGCTGCAAGTGTGTTTTGGCATTTGTCCTAACCCTGTGGTCAAATGCGTTTTTCGAACATTCCTTACTGCACCTTTAAGCAAAAAGTCATATCATCCTTCATTTCATCATTTTGTGAAACCGCCAACACACACTCTGTCAGAATAACAAGACCTCTACAAGCGCCAAGCTGTCTAGTTCTCACACACACTTTGAGACAGCCAAGATATTGTGGCCTCTAATCAATGCCTTCGATTAATCACCCAAAATCAACAACCATCAGTCATGCGCAAACACACACACACATACACGCTAAGGAAAAGGTGACATTGTGACCTTGTACATTAATCAGCTTGTTTTTGCGCACATTCACACAGCACAAGCTCTTTTTTGGGGGTTTGTAATGTGGCTCCTTTGGCTGAGACTCAACACACACACTGAACTATCGCCACTTCCTCTGATCATGCCAGACTGGGGCTATTTATAGATCCCTGCACACACACACATACACAATAATGCCTGGGCATAATGACTTAAAGGGCAGTTTTATGATTAAACAATTGTGTAGTGGTTAGTGTGGTCAGTGGTACTAACTTTACATCAGACTATAAACTGAATGCCCATGTTGCCGGGTCATGACTGTGGTCAGTGGGATGGATGAGGTTGGATGTCACTGACCTCTCCTTTGGGCAGGATTTTCTGTTCGTCCAGTTTGAAGGCTGTGCCAATTTTGCGTCTGACGGTGGGCGGCTCCTCGCCAGGATCCAGAGGATACTCCTTCGGAAGTTTTCCAGTCAGCTCCTGAAACACATCACACTTTGTTATCGTCTTTTTTCTTTAGCATTTGTTGTGTATGATTGTAGTCAAAATTATTAGCCCTCCTGTGTATTCTTTTTTAAATATTTCCCAAATGATGTTCAACAGAGCAAGGAATTTATCCAACCCAAGCTCAAGCTGTAGCCCTGCAGACGTTTATGGAGAACGCGATTTAGGTGGCCGGAGGTATGTATGGCTGCATTTCGTTTTTTCAAGTGAACGCTACAGGGCAGTGTGACACCGCTCCTCTTGTTCGCCAGCTCGCCAGCTGACAGCTCATCTCCATGTGGAGCGCTTTCCTGCCGCAGCCAGTTTGTCCGGTTAGTTTGTCGTGGTAACCATAACTCGATGCGACGACCGGGTTTCAGAAATCAGGTAAGACAAAAAAACAGAATCCAAAAAATAAAGCAAACAAGTTCATAACGGGCAAGAATGCAGTAAAATCCGAAAACGCGGTCAAAATCAGACGAGGGCTTTTCTTTTTTCTGGACGGCTTTTGTAAATCGTTGCTTGTTTAGGGAAGACGGAGAAGGAGGGTGAGTCGGCCCATCGGCCCAGTCAATTGTTCAGTCACTCAGTCAGAAGATTGACAGCGGCCTCCGGCGGCTTTATGCGAAAAGGCATTCGAGACACGAAAAAGCACGCACAGCAGCCTCTCGCGGATTCGCGAATACAAAAACTGCACAAATACATACCTCCCGGGACGAAATTTCGCGGCCTTCAGAAACTTCCGCGGGGCTACATTTCCAGAATGAGTCTGGGTTGAATTTATCACTGTAATTCCTATTTTTTTTTTCTTCTGGAGAAAGTCTTATTTGTTTTAATTTCTGCTAGAATAAAAGCAGTTTTTATATCAATATTATTAGCCTTTTTTGTAATTGTCTACACAGAACAAACCAGTTATACAACGACTTTCCTAATTATCCTAGTTAAGACTTTAAATGTCACTTCAAGCTGAAAACTAGTATCTTGAAAAAATATCTAGTAAAATATTATTTAATGTCATAATTGGCAAAGATAAACTAAATCAGTTATTAGAAATGAGATATTAAAACTAATAAAAAAATTATTTCCGTTAAAAAGAAATTGGGGAAAAAATATACAGTAAATATGTGAAATTGACATACTAGTTCAGATCAAAACTTATTCCAATCAAGCTTATTCCAAACACAAGTGTGCAGCCTTATAAGATGTTGTGTTCTGGGACAATCCCAGAATGCACTGTTTAATGAAAATGTTTGTGAAGCAAACACTGTAAAAAATTGTGTGCAAGAAAAACCTATTTTAGTCTTTCTACTACAAAATTGAATTAAATATTAATCGTAGTTTCTTTATAATGATTTGGGAAATTTGGGAGTCAATGTTGTTTCTACATAAACAAATATACATATTTTAATACATAAGCATACAGTTATATAAATTCCACTGATAAATTTATAGAACTAATTTGAAGCCGTTGCATGAATAAAAATAACTAAGACAAAAATCATCTGCTCAGGCTATTAACTCTTTATGCTAATGTGAGAAGTTGTTTGGATTCTCTAGATTGGCTTCTTTGATGCAGATGTTCTTAAATTGTGAGATTAATATAGTAGTTCTGATCAAATCTTTTGCAAAAAGTAAATTAAAGCCTGACTGTTCTGACAATCTAATACATGATGGGAAGTTTATTCCAAACACAAGCATGCAGTCTTATAAGATTCTGTGGCTGCGTCTGAAATAGCATACTTCCATACTATACAGTAGGGGTAAATTAATTGTTTCTTCGGTGCACCGTGATGCAGATGGGGACAATTCAATATCGGTTCAGTAATAATTATAACCGGTTATTACGTACTAATGTCATTTATCTATTATGTGCGATGTCGTTAGAACACTATGCCAAAGAAGGCGAGGGCGAGTAAATTAAACACTCCAACTACTTAAAAAGCAGATAATTGTGCTAAATTCACAGCTTGTTAGTTTGCTGGAAAGTCTATCACTGACACTGAAGAAGGCACAGCACAAGCCACTATTTCATTACTAGGGAGAAATGCTGCAAAAATAGATCTCTGCCTCTTTCTCTCTTTCACTTGCTGGTGTGTTTGTGAGGTAATTTTTTTCTCCTCTCAGCAGTTAAAGTCATACTTGTGGATCCAGACATAAGTGTGTCTGTGGTGAGTTTTCTCCACTGTGTCTATTACGGATTACCTGTGATAACCGTGTAATATGCGCATATAGACTGTAACCGCGGCTGTTCTTCCAGCGTAACTCATTGGTGAACAGCGCTTTCCTTTTTAAAGCCAATTGCAGCCCTTTCTGTTGAGCGGGTGAACACAATGACCAATCATAGGAGTGTAAGAACTCGCTTGACAGCTCTAAAAAAAGCAAACGAATAATATTTACATGAGTTTATTTGCTATAAATGCTCATGTTGTCTTCTGTGCATGTTTTGGAGTTTTGTCTAAAACATTCGAGAAAAGTTTTTTCTTTGAACAGATAAAAATTAAAGGTACAGTTCATATATCTTACTGCTTGTATTAAAGGACAAAATTGTATTACAAATAATATATAAATATTAATATATTTATAGATTTTGATAAAAAAAATTCTTGTGTTGTGAAGAAAAAATCTAATTATGTCTGGAAAGCATCGACAATGCACCAAGATATCGAATTGATCCGAATAGATGACATGATAATCATAACCGAACCGAACTCTGAGACCAGTGTAGGTTCACATCCCTACTATACAGCTAAAAACAGTATGTGAGTTGAGTAGTATGTCCGAATACATAGAATTTTAAAAAACAGCATGCGAAAAAAACCCGGTTGACCTGCTACTTTGCACAGCATATGCTGTAAAAACTTGTGCAGATTTTAAAAGACACAGTTTCATATTGTGAATCCTATTTTAAGTCTACAAAATGTTTCACTCAGTGTTAATTTTAGATCTTTATAATTATCAGTTTGTCTCTTCCGCCAAAATCTATCAAAGATTTTTCCAGGTCACATCATACTACAGTTTCTCATCTTGACCAATCAAATGCTCTCTAGAATCTGGCATGCCCCGCCCCCTTCAAGACACCTCTTATTTGCTTTTCATTTGATGCGCTTGAGCTAAACTACTCTCACTGGCAGAGCTGTGATAAAACAAAACACTATTGGCTGTTTTTTTTAAAGAAGAGGAGCTACTCTATGCCCTGCCCTCTCTTCAAGTTTCAGTTGAGATTACATCAAACATTGAATAAAAAATGCACATTTCAAAACACGAGATTTTTTAAATAAATATTTCCACTTATATATTTAGTTGAGTGACTACTTTGAGAAGTGAGAAGTTGTTAGGATTCCGTACCGCTTCTCTGATGCAGATGTTCTTAAGTTCCTCTATTCTCTGTCTGAGGGTCTCCTCCAGAGCTTCCTGTCTAGCCCTCAGAGCTGCCAACATGTCCTTCTTCGCAGTCTGAGAGCTGTCCGACTCTTGAGAGCCTGCAAACACATACACGAGGTTAGGATTGACACAGAAATTATATTTATTATAATATGTATGCTTGTGTGTATGTGTGTGTGTGTGTGTGTGTATGTAAACTAAAGGTTAAATATCATTCATATGTAAAGGTCAAATCAGCATCAGCAACTCCAGGCTTGTGCTTAAACAATCAGACTGACCTTCTTACTCAAAGAGAGAGGGTGTGTACTTCACCTCTTTCAACGCTCTGAAAGGAGGGGGCAAAGTGTGTGTGTTTCCGGGACAAAACTGAACAAAGAGTTCCAATGGGGCAACATTGTTCAATGTGTGTGTGTGTGTGTGTGTGTGTGTGTGTGTGTGTGTGTGTGTGTGTGTGTGTGTGTGTGTGTGTGTGTGTGCGCGTACATTACGGTCTAAGATGTTTACAAGGAAGTCAGTGAAATTTTTTGGCAAGACTGGCAACAAGGATTATATAACAACACGATACCTTAATGACACCACACACTGCTAAAGACATTAAATCAGTGTTTGCTTTCCTGTGGGGAAAAACTAGTTGTGTGTGACCTTGTGAATGAGTGTGTTTTCTCAAACTGAAACTATGCATCCTCATCATCGACAGCATCCTCCATTTCTGTAGAGGAATTTGATGCTTCTGGTGTGTTTGGAAGGGTGTAATGCGTATCTATGTGTGTGTGTGTGTGTGTGTGTGTGTGTGGGAGCAGCCAGCTGTCTGGGAATTGGTGAAGAGTCGACAGTAATAGAGAGAAAATAACTAGGGTCACTGGCTGTGTCACTAGTGTCCAGTCAAGCCTGCTGTGTGTAAGTGTGTGTGTTTGTTTGTGTGTGTCTTTGGTCTATGGCTGCAGAATAAGAACTGAAAGAGTAAGCCTGAAATACAGACAATTTAGTATTTTTTTGTAGATCGCTGGTGATCGTGACACTCAGAAATGTAGTCACCCAATCTGACTCTGTCCAATATCCTTCAGAGAGGATCTGAAGGATATTCAGAGAGGATTCTGTTCAATATCCTTCGAGATCTACCTGAGCTCAAACTCCCTTCTCGCCTTGCAAATGAGAGGGAGCCCCGGGCTCGAGGATCTTATGAGCTTAGGGCACTCACCCTGGACTGCATGCCAAACAAGCTTTATAATCAATCATCAGCTAAGTGTGAACCCTTGAATCATCCCTGTGTGGGATGTTTTCCATTGGGATGCTTGAATGATGGATTTATTTAGCAACTCTGCAAATCCAAACATGGCTGGGTGGACAAGCTCTTTCCAGCTAAATTCTCCTCTCATACAAACACAAAAGGAACAGATGATGCAAGAATTCCCACTTGTTTGTTGACATAGATTTTGGAAAAAGCTGTTTTAATGGGCCATTACAGTGCTCTACTACTGGTTGTTATTGAAGCATATGGTCATTATGACAATTAAATCAATCATATGACCATGTTCTTGGTTATAGTGGGTTCCATAAAAATACTTTCTATAACATGTTTATGGTCAGTAAATTGTATTATTGTTTTTGAAAGGAGTTGAGTCCTGCTCACTACGGATTAGGCCTGTCACAATAATCAATATATTGGCTTATCGTGCAATACTTGAAGATGACCTCAATATTTTTTGCCATTGCAATATATATATATATATATATATATATATATATATATATATATATATATATATATATATATATATATATATATATATGAATTCACAAATAACGTTAAAGGCATTTTACAATGACATTTACGTTCTTATGTCCGTACGCTTATACTTGGACATTTACTTAGCAGGACATTTAATAGTATATATAATAAAACATTTACTTTATGAATGATACATATTTTAAAGTTTTTATGCCTATTTGAACTATTATGCTGTTATATAATCCTTACATAATCAGTGGAATGAAATGATAATAAAAAATGACTATAGTATCACTCATCGTAACAATTTCTGTGACAATATATCACACAAAAAAAATTCTTTATCGTGGCTGGCCTACCAAGGATGCATAATTATTATTTCACATTATTGTATATATTGCTTGTACTTTATTTAATGATAAAGTAAATTGTAAAATAAACAAATAAATAAGACTAAATTATTAAATGATTACAGATTTTATTTAGGTGTGCAGATAATGTGATATAAAAAACGTTTTTTAACGCTTCTAATACGTGTTCCTGGTCATAGAGTAACTTATACCTTCTTCCATAACCAACCACTGAATGGGTCAGAAAATATAATATATAATTAAAATAATATTGAATATAAGAGCCTGTTTTTTCACAACAGTGGATGAAAATAAGTTCTTACTGTGCGTAATTCATGCATGTTATTCACTGCCTGTAAAGCCCTTAATGTCATGAGCTACTACTTATGTCTAAGGAACTACAAATCCCATCAGGCCATGTCACACACACTAGTTGCCGATTATGGCTGATGAGACACACGCACAGATGAGACTTGTGATCACTGATCTCATCTGTGTGTATCTCATCAGCCGTATATAAATAAAATAATATTGAAAATAAGAGCCTATTTTTTACCAAAGGGAAGAAATTATGTTCGGCTTTAAAATATTGTTCACAAAAAATGTGTTTATTATTATTAAAGTCAATTAATAATTAATAATAAAGTCAATAATGATTAAAGTCAGCGTTCCTTTTTTAACAGCTTTCCTTGTGAGCTTGTATAACTGAACCTCGACATTCGATTCTCCAGTCAATTCCCATTATAACAAATACAACCTTCCTCTAAATGTTTTCTTTTTGAATAAGTAATTTAATTCAGAAATCTGTCCGATTAAGGAGACAAAATACTTAGCGAACTTCGTTTCAAGTTCACGCTCTCTTACCCAAAGCAAACAGCTGCACTTGTCCAAGCCCCTATGACCTAATCTCTCATGCGTGTTCAATGATTAAGAGGCTGAAGACACGCGGAGGGGATGAAAGGGGAGATCGTATGACTGACACCAGAGGAATCCTGCGATGCGCATTTCATTCACGATACCAGACACCACGGCAAGAGTCCAAAACCAGCATCAAGACAAGCTGTTCTCACTCTCACCTTGTAGAAAATTTACACACATGCCCACACCCCTAAACTATTACATCAACATCACCGAGAGATCCTGAACAGCGCTTTCAAACACACAATAAAACAGGGTGTACACTACAAGACTACATTTTGTCACCCTTAATTTGAGTGTCTTTATAACTGGTTCTCAGATCACTTCCAATGACTAACTATGAACATCACTTTAAATGTGATGACCAACTAAGTTCATGATCATAGTTAAAGTTGGGAAAGAAAGAATCTCCTCATCCACCACCAGTATGTGGCATCCACCTGGATCCGCAGAACACACACCAGCTGATTGGTGGAGAGCAGACAGAGTGATGAAGCCAATTATAATACGGGAATGGTTAGGAGGCCATGATGGACTGAGGGCAAGTTTGACCAGTATGCCGGGGTAAAACCCCTACTCTTTTTCAAAGAACATCCTGGTATTTTTAATGACCACTTCTCATCCAAAAGACAGTGCTCACTAGGGTTGTAACAATATACCGGTATGACGGTTTACCACGATTTGAACGTGCACGATTATCATACCATGAACAATTGCATATCAACGGTTTTAACCCTTAAAGACCGAGACAGCCGCCCGCGGCTAAAAATAAGTATTGCTCTTAAATGTTTAATAACTTTTGATCCGCTGATCCGATTCATACAATTCAAAGATTGGCATAAAGAAGAGAATCTCAGCTTTCCAGTGCTGTATCACATAACATTCGCGGACTTCCAGAGGCTCCGGAATCAGTGCGATGACGTCATCAACATTTGACAACGCTGATTTGACAAAGAAACGCTCGTCACTGTGTCTCCGGACAAATCAGACATGATACATTGATGCATTGTCCCTCCTCCATGCCCAGATTGGTTCAAACTCGCTATATCACAACCAATAAGCATAGGTTTCGCTTTTGTTTGTGGACCAAGCGTTTTGAACAACACGGAATGAGAGATAGGCATACATTTATGCGCGGCTAAATAAAACGCAAAAAAAAAAAAGTTTTGCATGAAATAATTCTCGTACTAAGTACTTTTGCATGCACAGCAGCACAGAAACATGACAAAACAGTGACACAGCAAAGACGAACTGCTGCTCTTGCTGTTTTCAAAAGACGCAAATGAAGATGCAGCTGTTTGTCTGCATTGCAGACAACCACATCCAAATCCATATCGATAGACAACCATATCCATGCTGGCACATAAAACCTAAGGATGTTCCATATTGAATCTAGTTTCGTTATGTAACTAATTATAGTATAGTAAATATTTATATCTATTTTTTACTGAGGATTTGCACCATGTTTATTTGGACTTTATTTGGACTTTGACACATTATTTATTATTTTCTTATTTTTATTTTTATTATTTTTTATTATGTTCATTGTAAGTGGTGTTGTTTATAGTAACTAAAAATATATTATTTGGAAAAAGTCAAATTTGCTTCACTGTTCTATTATTTTGTAACATTTGTAACATACCGTATACCGCGAAACCGTCAAACCGTGGTATTGTTTTAGACGATTATCATACCGTGAAAAATTCATACCGTTACAACCCTAGTGCTCACTAAGCAGTATAGAGTCCCCTTCATTATACTGGGGTGTTAGGACCCACACAGACACCCCCTGCTGGTCTCACTAACACCACTTCCGGCAGAAACCTAGCTTTCCCATGTAGTCTCCCATCCAGGTACTGACCGGGCGCAGCCTTGCTTAGCTTTATTTGGTGACCATGTGAGAGTAGCAGAGAGCTAGCTGTCGACAATTTCAATAAATTTTTATATACACTCACAGTATATTTACTTAATATTAAATGTAAGAAAGCCCAATTAAAGACTCTTGACTTGTGATAACTCCTTATCAATGCAATATAATTCAAAAGGGATTAAGAACTAGAATTATTTACCCTTATGGAAGGTTTATAAAAGAGAGCAATACAAATCAATTAGACTAGTAAAAAAAAAACTTAATGTGGAGCTTTAGCTAACTCTCTGACCTTCAAATTAATGAATGAAACTTTATACTCCCATTTAATACAAGTCAACACATTCATCTATAAACATACTGATGCACCGATCTTGATTTTAAATGACTGACTGTGATGATTTTAACTAGAATATTGGACGATTGCATATTTTTTAATTTTAGAAACATGATAAAAACTGAAAGACACTTTTTTTTAATCTGTTCTTTAACATATTGAGGCAACAACTGCACTGCCATCATGATCTATACATGATCCACACACAAAAATAATACAAAATTCAATACCTTGTAAAATAGCATTTAAGACTTTTTAATAATTTTTTAAGGGCCTTAAGTGTCTCTAAATTGATTTAATCATTTTTAAGACCCCGCGGATACCCTGTTATTAGGAATGCACTACATTTTTAGCGCTGAAAATTATCGGCTGAAATGAAAGGTTTTCAGTCGAAGGAGAAAAATGGCTGAAAATACGAGCCAAAAGTGTTTAGTGTGCTGTTTCACTCTCACAGTCATAGTCAGTGTGTGATGCGAATCAGCTTTCACACCGGACAAGGAAAGCACTGCACTATGAAACCTATTTATTTCAATAGCTTGCAATGTGCTAGGGTGGGTTGTTGTCTCAACTCGATCAATGTCAATAAAATTGTACTGTTAATAAAATGTGGTTATTTTATTGTTTCCATTTAAAATAGTACAATTTAAGTTAATTTATAATTTAATTGATATTATTTGATTAAAAAAGAAATAATACTTACAAAGCATCTTCTCTGTCAGTTTTGAGTTTTCAGCCAAGTGCATTTGGATTTGGACCAGGATTTTCATTTTAGTGCATCCCCACTTCTAACATGCCCAAGGCGATGAGCTTCAGTCTTGTAACATCAGTTTTGCACTTCGTATTTAGTCATATTATTGAATTTACTACACTGACACTATTGAATGGACTGTTGAATAACTGCTTTACAGCGGAATTGTGAGTTCCCGGCTGGGGTCCCGGATTTCATGATCCAACACATATTTATGGAAGTCTTTTTTGCCACAAGATAATGAAAGGTGAAAAAAGATCAGCAATTCTAGGTTAAGATCCCCAAATTCTGACTGTTTACTCACATTTGCAGGATCTAACCAATTCCACGACAGAAACAAGCTTCTAAATTGACTCAAGCTCACTTTTCATATGTAGAGCTGATGAACGTGACATAGTTATTAAACAACAGAACCAACACTTAACTGACTTGAGCAGGATAATGACACTATTGTCTTCTTAGAGATAATTGAAGTGTGCATCACTCGCTCCGTCATCTATTATTATATTACTGTGAAACACACTGTAGGCATAAACTGGACTTGAGAGAGTATTGTGCGATTTCTGACCTGAGGACAGTAGGCTCCCGCTGCTCCCGCTGATGATTTTGCCTTTGCTGCCCATGTTGGCCAGTTTGGAGGTCTTGAGGGTCCCAGTTTCAGTCAGGTCTATGGCTATCTCATTCAGACTGCGAGCTGCATGGATTTTACTCTGGGAGACAAAGACAGAGAAAGTGAATGTGCTTGCCAGCTGTGTCGAGTGTGTCAGAATTTTCCAAGAGACACACATTCCACAGCTTTTAAAAGTGTAACACAATCCTTTCTCAGCAAAGTCTGAGACAGATAGTTATGTGTGTGTGACTGTGGAGTGACGGCAGTTCAGTTAGATGGTTAGAGGTAGACCACAGAAACACAGGAAGGTCATAGGCACACTAAAAGATGATTAGAGACTGATCTAAAAATGCCCTCTCACCTTGCTCTGTTTGCGGTCCAGGTAGAACTGGTGTTGGCTGATGGCCATGGCCCAGATGGATTTAATGAGGGTGGGACAGGCGTACCAGGTGTGCACGGCGATGCCACTGTGACCAAACGTCCTCCGCGTTACCGACGCCCTACAGTTGGTGCGAACACAAAACGACTTTATATTCACTGAATTTTACGACACCGTCAGTGCAGAAACAGATGCTTATTATTGGTGAAAACATTGTCATTTATTAACAGATGGGCACCGGCTTTGTGTTTGACAAATTAATAAATGCACTGCCATAAAATGTTACTTCCTCAGAACATTCAAAACCATTGTAAAGACAGCCAATAAACACCTGTGGACATATTATATTGCTTGGCTAGTTACAGTAAAGGTAAAAAATATTAGGATTAACATTTTTTAATTTCCCTTAACAGCATTTTCACCTTCCCATTCAAAAAGAACAATCGATTGTTTTTAGCAATGCATCTTCGCAATAGAAATATGCTACAAAAAATGTAAAATTTTTAAAACTTTTTTTTTAGCATTTAAAGGTTTCATGGCAATATTTTGTTAACTTCAAGAGTTCACACTTAGCTGATGATTGATTATAAAGCTTGTTTGATATGATGTCCCGGTAGAGAGCCTTGAGCTTAGAAGGGCAAGAGAGGAGTTTGAGCTCAGGTAGGTCTCGAGAACTCCCCTGGTTTAGCTAGGGCCTATGATAGATTATAGGGATTGCTATGGAGAGATAAACAGGTGAATGAAAGGCATAGGTAGGAGCCTAATTATTGCTGCATTCACACCAGACGCGGAAGAAGCATCAAATGGGAGTGATTTACATGTTAAGTCAATGCAAAGATGCAAATAGACATCCTGCTGCCCAATACGCACGAATGAGGCAGTGCAATTGATCCGATTCATGTGAATTATTCGATTCGCGCAAATAAATCAGAGCGAGTTAAACGTTTTGCGAAAATGAGTTTCTCTCGAATCGCTCAAGTTGGAAAATCTGAACTTCAGCGGACATTTGCGCTGCGTCAATCAGGAGCTTTGTGTTGTAGGGGTGTGCTTATGACGTATCTGTTGTTGGTGTCCCGGGGATAAATCCTCCTGCTGACACCAGACAAAAGTTGATCAAACTGGGCTCGGCTCAGTCGGAAGCACAGCTGAAAGCCTCCATCATGCAGGTTAAGTTTCTGGAGGAGTTTATGAACTCACAGAGCTGGGTGCACCTCTGAAAGGATTTAGTGGACTCACCGGGCAGACAGAAGCCCCATCCATGACGTGAATCCGCGTCTATTGCTTAGTGAATATGACACGCAAATGAAGCGGAGTTGATGCGTTAATGAAGCGAGTAAACTCAAAATGTTCATTCGCTTATCTACATAATTTATCCGCGCGTACCGCATCTGGTGTGAACACAGCATAAGAGCTCATCTACAGTGTCAATTTGGTTTAGTCAATTCACTTGTGTCGCATGTCTTTGGGCTGTGGGAGGAAACCGGGGAAAAACCTACATTAACACAGGGAAAACATGCACACTCTGCACAGAAACATCGACTGGCCTAGTAAGAACTTGAACCAGTGCTGTTCTTGCAGTGAGGCAACAGTGCTAACCACTGAGCTGCCATATCCGGGAAAAGGGAGGAGAACTAGGGGTGGAAGAGGGGATTCTTCAAGACAACGATAAGGTAAGAAACTCTGGTTATTTATAGTGTGTTAGGAATCGGCTGATTGGTGAATCATGTGTTAGCTAATGCAGGACCGGCCGTGGTCAATCATAAGCCTGGGATCCTCTTAAAATTAGATTATAAATAAACTCAACGTAAGGATGCAACGTATGGATCACAACCCACGGTTCGGAACGCACGTGACTGCAGATTAATAACTTTTTAGTTGTAAATTATCCTTAATGTGTAATAATTGCCTCCCGCGTCCTTCAATTTGCATGTATGAAAACATTTGAGCTTTCCTGTAAAATATAATGACGACGGAAGAAGTGGTGGAGGCACCTTCAGTAAATGCTTTCTTAAGTTATTAAATGTGTTTTTGGCCACTACTTGTTTATCCTACATCAAAGAATTCAGTGTAAACATGCAGAATTATTTATGAAAAGATCAGGATCTCAATTCAAACACCCACGCAACAAATTATAAATAAAAAATATACGTTTTTTTTCAGTATTGGAAGTATCAATATATAATTTTTTTATGTTCAGCTGGCTATTTCTAGATTTTTATTAAACTTACAGGTTCTAAGTTCTGTTTGTTAAAACCAAATGTTTCTTGCAGTATTGTTTTTGTAATAAATTGAAAGCTAATGACATTTGTCTCCTCCCTTTTTTGTTAATATAAAAACTGGTCCAATCCGTGACTCAAAAACCATAGTGTGATCCGTTACACCACTAGCTTTAATGTAGCTTCTTAAACACACTTCTATCTAAAAACAAGCAGCTTGAGCAAACAAATTGCTCAAAAGTTAGGGTAAAGATTTAAATTTGCTTAAAGTATTTATTTTACCAAGAATGGATTCACACATAAAAACACACAAATCCAAGTCCTGTCATCTCCCATATTACTAGCAGCCAGAAAAATGTATACATTTAGGTGTGAGATATGAACTGGTGTTAGCACATAATACTCCTAACAGTTCTGAAAAGTATCGGCTTAGCGTACCACACACGGCGCAGCCCACATATACACACACCATTTACACTGTGGTCAAACGCAGTGCACGTGTGTGTCCTGTGATGGGCTTTATAAAATCCTCCAGGCCTCTCCACTAGAAGAAGATGAACAGCAGACCCTCACTCTTATCAAAACTTTATTAGCATGCGCATGTGTGTGTGTGTTGCAATGACTCTAACTGAATGACAGTGAACCTAACAAGAAGGAAAATACATCATGCTGCAAAATAAACAGATTCTTTCATCTTCCTAAACTGTTTTGCTCTCTTTCATGTCTTATTTCCACGGCCTCCAGCATTTCTGTGAACTCCCTGCGTGTTCTCTGCGTTTCTGGGCTGTCGTGGTGGTTGTTTGAACAGCGTGAATGAGGTGGTTTATCTGTCAGCATCTGAGGCAACGTGTGCTGCTGCTTTTGGCAGCGTCTGCTCTCCTAAAGAGACTAACCAGCCCTCAGCACACACTGATGATGTCATGAGGGTCTGATTAAACCCTAAACGCATCCTAATATCAATAGAGAGTCAGGATAAATGGAAGATCCACAGTTTTGACACATCAAGAGAGAAAAACACAGGATCAGGATAAACTCAAATCACATCTCTAGAGCTGGAGACACAGATCAGGTTTTCGTTCATCTATGCCGGATGTATTTCTACCCTCCTCTCCATGGGACACAGGAAGTCAGAGATTTCAACTCAATAACAAATAGCTTAGCTTGGTGAAGGCTTGTGGATGGATGGAGGTCAACCAGATGTAACTACGAACATATTTACCTCACAATGTTTCTCTTTAGGAACAGCAGTCCTGTCAAAAGTCTCATATATTTTTAGTGTTGCTTAAAGGGACAGAAAATTAAACTATCGTGAACACTGGGAGAACATGCAAACCTTACACAGAAATGCCAACTGGCCCAGCTGGGACTTGACCAGCGACCTTCTTGCTGTGAGGCGACAGTGCTTTCATAGTATTTCCATAGTTTTCTAATATAGAAGTCAATGGTTACAGGTTTTCCGCTTTTTTTGTGTGTTTAACAGAAGAAGGAATCTTATAAAGGTCTATAACCCTTTAAATAACCCCGTAAATAGTGAGTACATTTTCATTTTAGGGTGAACTATGCCCTTAACTCTTGTTTTTAAGTGCTCTATAAAGTTGATACTTTATGGTTTACTATACCACGTTTGGAGGCTCAGTTCATCAAGTCATGTTTTGTCTACGTAACATAAATTATTCTCACAATGGAACCCCCCAAAAAATTAAAGGAAAAAAACAAACAACACGCTGAGACCTTTTAAAAAAGTGTTTCTCAACCACGTTCCTGGAGGACCACTAACACTGCATGTTTTAAATGTTTCCTTACAGGTTTATTACAGGTCTTTCAGTATCTGCTAATGAGCTGTTGTTCTGAATTAGGGCTGGGCGATAAAATCGGTATCAGTATTTATTGACCGAACACCATTGTCAATATCGATAATAAAAAAGTTAGATATTATTTCGTTATGAAGTGCTATAGTTTTATTAAAATGTGACTGCTGAGCGTGCGCCTTGGAAGCAATGCCAATAAGCTTAGGGTGTCCGTTTGTCATATCCACTGGAGCCGCACATATGGGAGTACCAAGGGAGCACCAATGCACATTTTCCAGGTACACTAAGCTAAAAAAACTTCTGAAGTTTTCCTGAATGCCCCGAGGAAAAACATGCAAACTCCACACAGAAACGCCAACTGAACCAGCCGAGGCTCAAACCAGCGTCATTCTTGCTGTGAAGTGACAGCACTACCTACTGCGCCACCATTTCTAAAAGTATTGTTAAAAAAATATTCAATAATTATTGATATCGAATGATATGAAACATGATTTTGTGATAATTTTTTTTGCAATATCACCCAGCCCTATTCTGAATCAGGTGTGTTTATTCAGGGAGACATGGAAAATGTGCAGAGCTGGTGGTCCTCCAGGAAAGTGGTTGAGAAACACTCTTTTAAACCATCTTAACAAGCTTGTCAGGTTGGAGTGAAAGTGGTACCCAGTACTGTCAATGTGTTAGACAGATTGATTATATTGAGGTAAAGTTGGTTTTATATTCACACATATGTTCATTGACATCTTGTGACACACCCCTTATATTGTTTACCATGGTACTTTCAATATTTGGTCTGCAATCACATGTACGTATGAGTTCAAAACAACATTAGCCATATTGATTTGACTGTGAACAATGTTGTACTTTGATAGTCATTGGCTGCTAATATGATTCCACTATTTCGAATTTGCAAGGAATACTTTTCCAAAAGGATATTAAGAAGAACGTTTGAATGTGTGATTATAAAACCAACTTTACCTCAATATTGTTTATTAGCTTATAGTCCATGATCTGTGTGTGTATGTATGTGGCACGTCATGATTTTGCCATGCACGATGCAATCCTCAATTAACATCTATGTTGATCCTGGAGCATAATTTTTGTTAGAAAAAGTAATCCATACAGTACCTATTCCCTACCTCTAAACCCAACCATAACTGTAAATTATTCCCTAAATCAGAGGGGAATAATAGTTGGACAACAATCATGTAGAAGTGCATAAACCTAACTGTTAGCCTAAACATAAACATCTAAACATACCCCTTATTTCCGACTGGCTGATTGGAATGTTGTTCCAGGATCAACATAGATGTTAACCCAGTAACATGTTTTACTTGGTGAAATCAGGTTGCCAGTTTGTGTGTGTGAGCAAGCATGTGCAGACTGTAATGTAGATTTACCTTCTCGGGTCATGGACTTCCACTGAGAACTTCTTCTCCCTGAAGTACAGATTCTCCAACTGTCTCCATTGGAACACCTGCAGAGACGAGAGAACGTTTTCAGAACATTCCCACAACCTTGATCTAACATTCCACGGATGTTCTTCAGAATCCTTCCAGATCACAACAGGACATTAAAAGAGAATCCAGAATCCAAGATATCTGACTTTTCCGTTCACTTTCGTGCATGTGGCGAGTATGTGTGTGTTTAAAATCCTCCTTAGGCACAGGGGAACAATGAGTCCTCCTCTGTATATGTGTAGAAAGTGAGAGACTGTTTGGATCTAGAGAGATGAAGAGAGAAAGAGAGAGAGCAAGCAAAAGTGGGAGGAGTCAGACTCTTTCCAAGCCTCTCCTCCCTCTGGGAGACACGCTTCCTGCGTGGGCGGAGTTTACAGTGAGTTCAGGGTGATGTGTTTGTGTGTGTGTGTGCTGTAGTAACCCCTCAAAATGCAGCGCTGCAGCTTTGTTCAACTCCTCCACCTCTTTTCCCCTCATTCACTCAAGAAATCAGGTTCTGGTTCTCATTATACACCATCACGCACACACACTCGGCTGTCTGAGGTACAAACACTGAATTCCAAGAGACATCAGCTGCACAGACACAACGAAAACGCAAAGGATGGTGTGATGGTATTGCTTTTACTTCAAATAAAAATGTCTTCTTAAGATAAATAACATCTAAACTATCAATTACCTAAATAATTACTGTTAATAGGCACTAAAATACCTTATATACACAATCGTTTCTTGGCAAAGAGCTTGAGTTGTGGGGGGAAATAAAAGAAAAATAAAGGAAAAGAGAAATGGATGGGGAGAGAAAGGGAGGGGGTTGGCTTGAAGTGCTCAAGAATTTTAAGAGCCTGGGAAAACAATGGACAGATGAAGGAAGAGGGGAGGGAAGGAACATAGTTACACACATACACACACAACTATTTCAACATATATCACCACAATTGGGAATTAAGTGCTGGTTCTTATTTAGGATGGGTTTTATTTTTTTAAAGTACTGAAGTCATGTGAACTTCACAATGTTTGGATTGGATAGTGATTCGTTAAAGTCTGCAGTGTCTCCGTTATGACAGAAAAAGCACATAATAACAATTCAAATAGGCAAGTTTTAGATTTAAGGTTGGATTAAAATATGAATTGATCGCAATATGAGATCGTAATAGAGAATATGACTAGCTGCAGCTATATAATAAATATTAATATGATTTGTGAACATTCATTCATTTTCCCTCGGCGTAGTCCCTTATTTTTCAGGGGTCGCCACAGCGGAATGAACCACCAACATTCCAGAAATGTTTTACGCAGCAGATGCCCTTCCAGCTGCAACCTAGTACTGAGAAACACCAATACACACTGACATACAGTACACACTCTCATAAACTATGGGCAATTAGGTTGATTCAATTTACCAATAGCGCATGTCTTTGGACTGTGGGGTAAACCGGAGCACCCGGAGAAAGCCCACGCCAACACATGGAGCACATGCAATCTCCATACAGAAATGCCAACTGGCCCAGCTGGGACTCGAACCAGCAACCTTCTTGCTGTGAGGCGACAGCGCTAAACAAATCACCCCGATTTGTGTACATTGATTAGCTAACATCGTTTTTTAATGCTTTTCTTGTAAAGAGTCAGTTTTAGTCTTGCTATTGGTTTAAAATGATCTCGTAACACTCAGTTGCTTTTATTGTAAACTAAAGCTATCAAAATAAAACTAAAATAAATCATACATATTAAATGATGCCTTGTGAAATTACTTCATTTAAGTTTAATTAAAACACTAAAACGGTGGGGAAAAAATGAAACATGAAAACAAACCAAACATTAAAATGAATGCTAGCTCACTTGCAACTCTTTGTGGGCTGGACTGGTTTGAGTAGTGGACCCTACACACTTCTCTGTAAATTATTAATTTTATTTCATCTATTTTCTTGACAATATTGTATTATATTGTATCTGACATTCTGTGTTTTGTGAAATGGCCTTTGTACTCTTTCTGTTCTAGTTAATTAACTAATCAATTAATTTTCATCTGCTTTTCCGGGGTCTCAGGGGGTTGCAGTCTCAGGCGAAAACCCTAGACTTAAACGCATGGAACACATTTTCCTATGTAGGCATCCAGGAGGCATCCAAACAAATGCTAGAGCCACCTCAGCTGACTTCTCTCGATGTGGAGGAGCAGCGACTCTACTCCGAGCTCCTCCCGGGTGACAAAGCTCCTCACCCTATCTATAAGGGTGCGCCCTGCCACCCTGCAAAGGACACTAATTTCGGCCGCTTGTATCCGAGATCTTGTCCTTTTGGTCATGACCCAAAGCTCATGGCCATTGGTGAAATTAGGTACGTAGATTGACCGGTAAATCGAGAGCTTTGCCTTTCGGCTCAACTCCTTCTTTACCACAATGAATTACTGCTGCTGCTGCTGCACTGACCCACCTGTCAATCTCACAGTCAGTCCTTCCCTCACTTATGAACAAAGATATTTGAACTCCTCCACCTGGGGTAAGGACTTTCCTTTTTTTTTTTTAAATGACACCTTTGCGTCTGGCGTTTTGCGCGTTGGTGTGCACGATCACATTGACACCCTTTATTTAGGCACAAAGCGATTAAACGTCGACGGAAAACGGGAGCAAAAAATGTCACGGTGTGCACGAACCTTTAGTACTATTAAGAGAACCAATTGTACAATTAAGATACAAAGAGAACACTTTTTCAGCGTCGTGAAGCCCAGAAAATAAACAACTTTATATTTTCCACCCTAACATACCATAAAAAAGTGCAACTGAACAGGACAGAGATGCTGATGGTGTTAAACTGAACTTTTCGTGCTGTTTATGAGACGCTTTGGTGGTCTCATGGGACAAAGAACAAACTTGACCCTCAACACTTTCAAAACAACGTTCATTATAGAGATACAAATCTTAAGAGAGAGAGAAAGCGAGAGAGAGAGTGAGTGAGAGGAAAAAGAGAGTGTGAGACCCTACAATGTTCCATGACATCTAAACACTAGCTTTCTGCAGTTATAGGAGCCAATGAGGCGTAGAGCATTAACCACACCCGATTATTTCGGGTAGAACTTTGGACGTCAGCTATTGTTCTGGATTTAGACAATCTTCCTGAAAAAGTGTGTGTGATTTTGAGGCGTGCAGTCACGAGAGGTTGTAAAAGAGGGGAAAAGGCATCTCAAAGGGCCCCATGTGCCCATCGATGCTCTCATGTGCTGAATCCTGGTTAGTTCCAGCACATATTTTACTGACAGCTGGCCTGTGTTCTAGGCCTCGTGTTGTTTGGTTATTTAGATCTCTGGAAACAGGGTTAAACCTTGCCCTAGACTTCAAAGGATTTTAAATGAGGGCTCATAGCCGTGGTGATGGGGTCCAGAGATTGGCCATGTTTCTGTCTAAAAACCCACCTCTCCACTCTGAAAACACAGATGGAGCTGATTCTGGTAAAGTCTGATGTTAGAATGCTGGAAAACTAAAGATGTTTTTTTTTTTAAGATCAAGCAAATTTCTAATTATTTGTTGCTAGTTTTATTAATACTTTTAATTAGTATAATATAAAATATATAAAAATCTATATCGAAAGGGTTTTTAAATACTTTTTCTACATGGTTTTAAATAGTAAAGTCTGATGTTAGAATGCTGGCAAACTAAAAACTTTTTTAATAAAAGGAGGATGCATATTCATTTGTTATAATCAAAACTTTTAATGAATAAAATTTATGAAATATAAAATATATAAAAATCTATATTGAAAGGGTTTTTAAATACTTTTTATACATGATTTTAATCAGTAAGGTCTGATGTTAGAATGCTGACAAACTAAAAACATTTTTTTTAAATAGAGCATGCATATTTCTAATTATTTGTCATCATCAATACTTTTAATGAATAATATATATATGAAATAAGAAATATATAAAAATCTATGTCAAACGGGTTTTTAAATACTTTTACAAAATATATATATAATATTAATCAGTAATATTAATATCAAGATTGATGCTAGAATGCTGGCAAATTAAACACTTTTTTTAAGGAGCATACATATTTCTAAATATTTGTCATTAATTTTATCAATACTTTTAATAAATAAAATATTAAATACATGACAATCTGTACTTTTTATACACAATCTTAAATAATGTATTAAACTGGTTAAAGCATATTTGTAATGTTTTGAAAGATTTCAGCACGAAACTAATTATGTTCTTACCATGTTTCCGCTGCAGTTTCCACAAAACTAAGAAATAGTTTTACAGCATCAAATTTGCACGGTAATAAATGACATTTAAAAACAAAATATATTCAATAGAATGTAGCAGTTTTAAAGTGTAATAGTATTTCACAACATTACTGTATGTTTGACATTATTTTAATCAAATAAACAGGGTTGTTGAGCACAAGGGACTCAAATTAAATTAAAATAAGTGCTGGACAAAAACATAATCGTGAACAATCGCTTCTAAAACAAAAGTTTGTTTTGACATAATTTAAGTGTGTGTACTGTGTATATTTGTGTAAATACACAGGTATGCATATACAGTTGAAGTCAGAATTATTAGCCCCCCTGTTTATGTTTTTCCCCAATTTCTGTTTAACGGAGATTTTTTTCAACACATTTCTAAACCTAATAGTTTAATAACTCATCTCTAATAATAATTGATTTATCTTTTCCATGATGACAGTAAATAATATTTGACTAGATATTTTTCAAGACACTTCTATACAGCTTAAAGTGACATTTAAAGGCTTAACTAGGTTAATTAATTTTACTAGGCAGGTTAGGGTAATTAGGCAAGTCATTGTATAATGATGGTTTGTTCTGTAGAATATCTAGCTAATAATTCTGACTTCAACTGTATTTGAGAAAATGTTTATTTATGTCTAGATATAAATTATAAATGTTATAAAGGAGTTAACGATATAAAGGAGTTAACATTTCAGGGAATTTCTGGTGTAAATGTCACAGCTGTGTCATCAGTATGACTCACATTCAGTGCAGTTACTTTTAATATAATGCA